ATAAATTTTAAAAATTAATAAAAAGGGAAAAAATTTCCAAATATTTTGTTTGTTTTGCTGTTGCTGTTTTTACAGGGTCTCACTCTATTGTCCAAAGGTCTCAAACTTTGAGAAATCAAGTAATCTGCCCACCCTCAGCCCCGAGTGCAAACATGTTTAAAGAAGCAGAACATACCTACACAGCTCTGTGTCAGAGAGGAGAGTACAGTGAAAACTAAAAGTAATTTGAACCATACAATAATTTAAAAGATAAAATACATACTAATTTGGATCCAGCTAAAACTAGGCTAAGAATGTATAGCCTTACATGAAAAAATTAATGCATTAAATATCTATCTCTGCAGTTTCAAAACAAAAAGAACAGCAAATTAAATACAACAAATGATGGAAATAACGAAGAACACATACTAACAAAACTTAAACAATGGAGAGAGTCAGTATGGCTAAAGTGTAACTGCTTGAAAAGATTAATGCAGTTACAAAACCCTTAGATGGACAGCCCAGAGTCTGGCTAGCTCACTCCCGTCTCTTGCTGAGTTACTCCTCCAGCACGACTTCCTCACTGCCACTCCAGCTCTGTGTGTACCACTGTTGTTAGGTGGTTTGATAATCTTCAAAACCTGGCAGGAGTGCTTAGGAAATGCAGAATGATCAAATATAGTTCACTTGCTTAAACTCTTTAAAACAAAAAGGAGGAACTATAAAAAAAATCAACATTATCTTATTAAAAAGCTTTTCACAGCAACAGAAACCACCAACAGTGAAGAGAACCCACAGCATGAGAAAAAAATGGTTGCCAGGTGTTCCACAGACAAAGAATTACTATGGAGAACATATAAAGCACTAATTGACTGACTAAATAAAGTCACCAAATTAAGACCCCCAATCCAAAACTGGGAATCTGAGATGAATACACATTTCTCAGACAAAGAAATACAAACATCCAATGAATACATGAAAAATATTCAACACCACTGGTCATTCAAGCAATGTAAATTAAAACAATGCTGAGATTTTATTTCATGCCAGAAAGAATGGCCACTATCAAGAAATCAACCAACTACAAATTCTGGAAGGGCTGTGGGGAGAATGGAACCCTTTTCCACCATTGGTGGGCATGTAAACTGGTACATACAGTTTCAAAACAAATCAGTGTGGAGATTCTTCAAAAATAATAGAGCTACAGGTCCCATTTGATCCAGCTATTCCCCTTCTGGGTATCTTCCCAAAAGAATTACAAGCATCATACCTCAGTGACACATGCACTCCCATGTTTACCCCGGCACAGTTTGTAATCGCCAAATCTTGGAACAGCCCAAATGCCCATCAACCAAGGAATGGATAAAAAAGAAGTGTTTTTTAAAAATACATAATGAAATATTACTCTGAAATACAGCAAGATATGCTTGAGGCATTTGTAGAAAAATAGATGCACCTTAAGACCCTACTGTTAAGTGAAAATAAATCAGATACACATGTGTAAATGCTGCATTGTTTCTCTGGTGAGAAACCAAAAATGTAAGCAAGGACCAAAGTGTATATTAGGTATTGGAAGAAAATGTTCAGATGGGGAGGGAAACAAGGGGGGAGGAGAAAAAAAGAAGGGAAAAGATTTAAAAAGGTGAGAAAAAGGTGAAAAACATGTAAACAATACTCTTGTAAATGGGAAAAGGAGGGGGTTTAAAGGAGGCTAGGGGAATGGGGAAAATAATCAATTTGGATCAGGTGCAGGTACAAATTCTCTATGATGAATGTGATCGTTATGTACATGTAAAGTATACCAATAAAATCTGATTGAAGAAAAAAATGCAAAAACAGTATGTGAAAAATATGGGTAAGAAAATAAGAATATAAAAAAGCAGTCCTTTTGAATTTGTACTACTGTATTTCTTAAGCTGTCATTGTCTCAAGCCCTAATTCCATGAAATTTCTTATTTTGAAATATTTTTACTTACAGAAGAGTTGCAAAAATCAGGGTAAAACCAGCAAAGTCATTATACTGAAGAAGCTTTCCAAGGTACTTCACAAAGCTGAAAGCATGAAGGACAAAACACAGGAAGCCATTCCAGTCCTGGACGGGACTACTGTAATATGCAAAGGCAGGGGAACACGCTCCTTCCAGGCCTGGGGCACACAGCAAGAGTGATGCAGGCACTGCTCTGCCTAGCTTCATAAAAATTACCAGAAAACTATTTCTTAATATTTTGAATGTTTTAAGATATTTATTTTAATTATTTATTATTTATTTGGTGGACTAAACACTCATGGTTTTTATTACCTGTTAAAACTGAAGACACTACATAAATGTTTTCACAAATATTTTTAATAGTCACAGAACAGATCATAACTTTTACCAGTGTTCTTTTTCAGTGCTAGGGATTGAACTCAGGGGTGCTGAGTACTGAAATACCCCTAGCCCTCCAGTCCTTCCTTTTTTGAAAACTTTTGAGTCAAGGTCTCACTAAGTCGCCCAGGCTGGCCTTGAACTTGGGATTCTCCTGAGTCTGTGGGCACCAAGCAGCTGGGATTTACCACTGATTTCAAGATCAGTTTGCCAAGTCTAAGCATGCAGCGTCATTTGGATGGCCCCATACTATTATAGAGGAAGACTTCCTGTGACACTCACATCTTCATGTTAGTCTGTGCATGTGCTCTCTTTTATTCCTGCCTCCCAAGAATCACTACAGGAGAATACGGAAATGTATTGAGGAACAAATAGGCATTCCCTGAGGAGACCAGCTCACTGACGTTAAGATGTCCTTCTAGTAGGATGTGTGGATCCACTGGCAGTGGAGGAGAAGTTGCTGTGAAAGTGCAAATCAAAATGACCACAAGACACATCATGTTCTAGCAGCTTCTTTCAGACAGAGGAACAAGTGAAGTGTGGCATGCCTGCGTGAGGATGAGCGACTCGCTCTGTACTTGCTCTGATGAGTGTACTCACCCAGTGGCTGCCCAAGGAATGGTGAATAACCTTCATTCTTTGTGTGACAGCTCTCTATGTTTTAAATTAATTTTATTGAGAAAGAAATAGCAATGAGACAGTTTCAAAACAGGTTAGTAGGACAGTTACAATAGTTAATACAGACAGCTCTCTAAACAGTTGACATCATTACCTTTAGATCATTTATTCAATGAATATTTAATTGAATGCTTGAAGCAAAAAAAAGAAAAGCTTGTCCACTCCTGCAGTGGAGTTCTCTGTGTGTGCAGTGCTTCTGCAACAGGAGCAAGAGTACTTTCCTGAAGGAGCAGAAAATCACCGTGAAGGTGTTGATGGCGTAAGCTATGGTCAAAAAGCTAAGTAAACGGAAGTTTCAGGGAGTAACTGTCTAAATAAAAATCTATGATTCCTTTGATAATCCTAAATTTTTCAGAAGATTTTAAAAAAGAAACATACTTTTCAACTTGAAAATATAAACAGACCAAAACAATGTATGAAGCACAATAAAACAGCACATAGGGATGGTGTAAACAGCTGTAAACAGCACTCTGAGAGACAGAGATACAAGGAATCTCAACTTTGATCCCAGCCTGGATAACCTGACAAGATCCTGCCTCAAAATAAAAATAAAAAGGGCTTTGGATGTAGGCTCAGGGTAAGGGTCCCAAATTCAAATCCTAGTACTACAAGTAACAACAGGATATACGTCTTAGATATTGGCCTAAAGTTGTTTTATTCAAGAAAAATGGCATTTTAAGCTTATTCTGTAAAAATATTTCTTTATAATGCTTATCCAAGATAAACTGTTACAGCAGAATGTTTTCTTTAAACAGATTTTTGTTAACACTAACAAGTGGCTTTATATAGGATGAACACTGCATTATTTCAGTTTTCTTATTATACTAATAAATTTCAATAATTTTAAATCCCAAAGCTAAGTTCATCCATAATAAAAAATATTTGTTTCAGATCTTTCCCTCACACTTACGGCTCACAGTGAGGAAGCTGCCAACCCCATCAGCTCCTCTCTGCCTCTCATGTTCTACCCTCCTCGCCCTGTACAAGCTCTACTCACCACACCTTTACACCAGAGCTGCGGCAGTTCTGCTTATTTTCTCCCGTCCTATACCAGCTCCAATCTATATTACACAGAGTAACGAGTACTCTTCAAAGTTATCTTAATGCAATCTTAGAAATGAAATGCTTTTTATTAGGGGATCTGCATAACACAGATCTGTTGAAACCAGAATCTCCTACAATTTTACATTACAGAGCCACTTTTTAAAAACCTGAATTATCACTTAAAAATGAGGACATTTGATTCTCTGCACTCAGAATATTTAGTACACATAGCTATTGCACCACTTATTCATGTGCTGCTTTGTTTCATTACTTAATCATTTCTTAGCTGCGTATCTTACAAACTTCACAAAAATACAATCTCCCAAGAGCGGCCATGATGTCTAACTCTAGTGCTATCCATGCATTCCCAGAGACTCAGCAAATAGTACCTGATCATCAAATGTTTAACCATCTGAAATCTATTATTATCATTATTATTTTTATTTTTAATTTTTTTGTGGAACCAGGGATTGAACTCAGGTCTTTGTGCTTGTCACGCAAGCATTTCTTTCTATTATTTTGCTTTTGTTTCCAAACTCTCTTATTTTCCATTTCCTGATCGTGTGTGTGTGTGTGTGTGTGTGTGTGTGTACACGCATGGTACTGAGGAATAAACCCAAAGCCTTTGCACTGAACTACATCCCCAGACTGTTTTATTTGTTTGAGATAGGGTCTCACTAAGTTACTAGGTTGCCCGGGTTAAGCTTGAATTCGCAGTCCTGCCTCAGCATCCCAGGTACTGCAGCTGCAGGCATGTGTCACCACAGCCAGCTGATTATCTAACTTAATTTGTCCTGTACTCTTTTACTTAATTTTTTGGACTGCATATTTTCTTCTTAAATAAGGGATTAGACTTTTTCCCTTGAATAACAAACAAAAATTAGAAATAATTCAAGTTCTCTAATTTTAAAAAAGTTTTCAAAATAGAACTCACCCTTCTCATACGCAATTCTTCTAATGCTTCCAGTAAATTTGTTTTGAAATCTAACAGCTGAATAGAAAAAATTGTCTCTGAAGAACTCTGAAGAGTAAAGCCAGCTGATGATAACTCAGAATTTAAATCATTCTCCATATTAATATTTATTTCCTGCAATATAAAATGTGTTAAGTGAAAAATCATTTCTACACATTTATCAAGTAAAAGCATACTCTAAAAAGCTAACAACTTGAATCCCCCAAAAGGAATGCAACTATTAAGTATTACAAATACATACTAATCAAAATTTTTAAAAACAAAACCACCTGCATCCCATAGTGCTCCAGGTTTAGCACTTAGAAATTTTGTTGCCACTCTTCCTCTACTCTTCATACAAAAGCACTGAGCAATGGCAGCTCGGTTTCTCCAAGGCACAGCCTTTTCTGGTGCCTGAATACCTTTGGAAACCAGATTTTTTTGCTCATGAACACTAGTGTTCTCCTAGCTGGTGTGAACACTAACAGTAATGCAATCTCTAGATTCAAGAAAATTGCAAGAGCCCTGTGGTAAAGGTCTGGCTTGAAAAGCAAGGTATTTAAACATCCTCTGAACCCAGATAATGCATGTATTAAGCTGCAAGAAACCCCTTTTCAACTTTTCATTTCGAAAGAAGTATTGTTTCTCCAGTAGCTGCAAAGAAATATACAGGGAAACCCTATACACCACTCACCCAGCCTCCTCCAATGTCAACAGCTGGGGAACAAGAGCACAATATAAAACCATGTATCCCACACTGGACGAACCCACAGAGTTTACCTGGACCCTACCAGTTACACAGCACTCGTGTGTGTGTGTGTGCTCCATGTATGCTTTTTTTTTTTTTTTTTCATTTTTATGTATGTGGTACAGGGTTTCACTATGCAGCTTGGACTCATAGTGATCCTCCTGCTTTGAGCCTCCCCAGAAAAGAATATAATCAACAGAGTGAAGAGACAACCTATAGAATGGGAAATTTTTTTCCAGCTACTCCCCAGAGAATTAATGGCGAGAATATCTAAAGAACTAAACAACCAGACTACCTCCCAAAACACCTAATAAAAAATGGGGAATTAAAATGAGCAGACCCTTCTCAGAAGAGGAAATACAAATGGTCATGAGTGCTTGGCACCGGCAGCCAGTAAAGAGATGCAAATGAAACCACTGACATTCCCCCTTGCTCTAAAAATAGCCACCATCAAGGAATGAAATAACAAATGCTGATGAATTTGTATGGAAAAAAGAACCTTTTCACATTGTTGGTGGGAATAGAAACTACTGCAATCACTATGGAAATAAATATAGAGAATCCTCAGAAAATTAAAAATAGAAATTTTGTTTGACACAGTTATACTACTTTCGAGTATCTTTTCAAAAGAGTTAAAGAGAGCATAGTAACAGTAATACCCATGTTTACAAAGCACAACTCGTAATTAAACCTTGGAAGTGGCCTATATGTCCACAGAAAATAAATGCATAAAGAAAATAGTAAATGTACAATGGAATACTACTCAGTCATAAAGGATAAATTTCAGTCATTTACAATGCATCTTGAGAGCATAGTAAGTGAAATAAACACAAAAGGTTAAACGTTGCATAGTTTCTATATGTCAAACCCAAAGTATAAATAATTTAGGACCACAATAAGAGAAAGACAGAAAACAGAGGGTAGATGTTGTAGAGACAGGAATGGGATTTGTGGGTGAGGGGACAGAAAGAAGTCAAAAGGATCAAGATGTGGTGTGACTATGTATTAATTCTCCACAATGAATGCATTATTATGTATCCCAAACATATACCAATAAAAAAGTAAAAAATAAAGACTATTTTGAAGTGATAACAGCTGACAATTTTCCAAACTTAAATGAAACAAAAAGTTACAAATCAAGAAACTTGAGGAATTCCATTCTGGGTGAAGAAATTCATACCCAGATATATCACAGTAAAGTGATCCAAAATAATCTGAAAAATTTCAAAAACTGCCAAGGAAAGAAATATAGTACTTTGAGGATGCCTCACTACAGTGATGATCCTACTGATGACCAAGGAGGAATTTTATAGTGAGAAAACATCAATCCACCAAAATGATACAATTTTAAACACATATGCACCTAACAGTTCAGCACCAAATTATGTAAAACAAACAAACAAACAAAAAACCTTTGCTCCATTGCATGCTCTTATTATCTTGGTCAAAAATCAGTTTGATAGGGAGGCATAGGTTTACTACTAGGCCTTCTATTCTGCTTCTTTGGTCTATATATCTGTTTTATGCCAATATAAATGCTTTGTTTGTTTCTGGGGGCTTTTTTCCTCCTTTTGCTTTGTGGTACTGGAGACTGAGCCCAGGGCCTACATGCTAGCAAATGCTCTACACTGAGATCTAGCTTAGTACGTTATCTGCTGCTTAGATGATGACTGTTTGCAGGGTATTTCAAAGTCACCGAATGCAATGTCTTCTGCTTTGTTCAAGAAAGCTATGGCTATTCAGGTGGGGGGCTCCACAGGAATTTTAGGTTTTTGTACTAGTTCTTTGAGAAATATCACTAGGATTTTGATAGGAATTATACCGAATCTGTCTGTAGCTTGCTTTGAGTTGTATGGATATTTATTCTTCCTATTAATTCTTCCAATTTATGAATATGGAATATCTTAACATTTTTGTGTCCTCTTCAATTTTTTAATCAATATTTTATGTAATATTTTTCCTTAGAGAGATCTTTTCTTCTTTGGCTAAATTATTCCTAGGTATTTGGGAGAGAACAGCTATTGTATTTTTTTTTTTTTCTACTTCTTTCTTTCAGGCTGGCCTGGAGCACACTTTGAAGCCCAGGTTGGTCTTGAACTCACAACGATCCTCCTGCTCAGCCTCCCAAGTGCTGGAATTACGGGTGTATACCACCAAGCCCAGCTTATTTCTTTCCAATTCTTATTTGTCATTAAACCTTGTATTTACTTTGCCAAATGCTCTAAAAATTATCACACACCAATAATTTTCCATACCTTTTAACATGCCAGATGGTTTCCTGTCACCACTTTCCCACATTCTTCAACTCTGCTCCTACAAACAAGCCTGTTCAAGCAGATGCCAAACTCTTGTGCTTGGTTTTCCCTGTGATGTTTCCTTGTATTGAAACCACAGTTTCTCTATTCCTGTCTTTTCCCTTGTTTTCTCATTTCAAAAAGAAAAGGTAATCTTCAATAACTTTCCATGAAAGAGTGAACTGCAGGTAATTTTTCAGAGATGTAACAATCTCTACAAATTACTTTAGTCAACTTCAAGTTTTAGTGACATTTTGGTCTTAGCTGTAATAATGTTCTCTTTAACCTCTCTCCTTTCTGAAACTCCTTTCAGTCAAATATTGGATCATTTATTTTTATTTTCTAACTTTCTTTTCATCCCCATTTTCTATTTTATCATATTTTTGTTCCATTAAATTTAACAATATAGCTTAACAATAATTTTCTAGCTGATTTAAATGATTTAAATGTGAGCACTAGCACCACTAGGATGCTTCTTAAAAACAAGAACTACCATACTCTTCATTTATTCTTCCATTCCCACAGAATTTAAACCATTATAGGCACAAAGTACTCAAATATATATATATATATATGAAATTTGTAAGGTATTTCTTCCCACATGGTATGAGAAAAATATATCATTACATTTAATCATTATGAGTGGACTTAAGTAAAAATCTGACTATTCTGCTATCTATGCACCTTAGGGGAACCCTTATTTTTCTGAGAACCTCAATCTGACAATAAATTTTTAATGCAAAGACAGGCTTATATTTTAAAAGATCACCATTACTGAAGACTAAAACATATTTTTAGCTGGATTAGCAACTACCATCAGGTAAACTAATAATTCTAAAGAGAGTATAGAAAAAATTACAACCACATTAGATTTCACTTTTATACTACTGAGACTTTCACAAATATTACATGACAATATTTAAGTATGATTAATCTATTATGAGAAAACCATGTTTATTTAAATAAACATATCTATTACTTATATTCCAACACACTACAAAAGACATTTGAAGAGAGCTGAAGAGAGGGGGAAGAAACGAGGAAGGAAAAATAAGAACTGAGATGTGCTGTGGACAGGCGCCAGCTCCCCACAGCAGATGACGTCACTGTGTTCTGCAAACGTGCACCAACACAAATGTTTTGATGTTAAAAAATACAGACATAAAAAAGAAGTTTAAGTGTCTAATTTCTTCAAGAGGTATGTTAAATTTTTATCTGTGATTTTGTATTACTAAAGAAGGCTATGTTATATCCATCAAAGTAGTCTGTTTTATAGTCAATATGGACATGTTGCCCATATAGCAGAACTGCGTGTAAAGTGCCTTTATTCTTGTCGTGCCTCACACACTGTCTTGGGTGCTCTGTCTGCAGAGTGCGAGAAGAGCGTCTTTGTATGCTTAGAGCAGAAACTGCATTACTTGCCAGCTTAAAAATCAAAACTACTAAACAACAAAGCCAGTGAAACAAACAGGCAAGTGATTTTGGAAGTGTGATCTTGGACTCAAACCATTATCAATACCTAAAAATGTTTCAGAAATGGGGACTAGAGCCAACCTCAGATCTACTGAGCTAGATAGGGCCAGCAACCACTGTGGGAACTGTGAACCAAATCACCCTGAACACGTGATACCTGCAAGGTCATTGTTTCCTGAATATATGCTAGAAATGCAGACTTAGATCTTCAGAAAATATTCTGTTTCCTTAATCTAATTATCAAAAGTTGATTGAAAGGACAATAAGCTGCTTCAACAATGTTAATAAGAAATTCACTAACAGCTGTCACCGGGGAAGATTGATGCTAAGTGCCTACAAACTTGCAAATATTCCCAAACATGAAGCAGAATAAGTGATGTAGAAAACTTTTTCCCAGCAGGCTTACTGCTGAAGCTCATCAGGGCCGGGAGCATGAGGATGCGCGCACCATCCATCAGCTTCAGCATGCCATGCTGTCCTAGCTCAAGACGTCCACCTGCTGTGCCAGGAGAGTGCACCTGAGCAATAGCAGACTGGGGGACCCAGAATGCCCACTCTGTAAACTGTCCCACACCTTCTAGGAAGGCCAGAACACCCACTGCTGG